TACGCCATTTATGACAGAAGAAATATTTACCTAGTTTAGAGCAGCACGTCATAGTGAATTTTCATGGCACGATTACACCGCATTTAGGAAAGTACTAACTTAGAGGATAATTCTGCCCTGCTCTTTCGCATTACACCATCCAAATTCTGGCTTGGTATAAATTTATCTTATTAATCGCCAATTTTTGACATCAGAAGTTTGCCTTGCCGTGCATCGGTGCAGTCAGGGAAGAAAAGTTAGAAATGGTCGAGTTGCGAGTGATATTCTGGTGTCGTAACGCCAGAGATTGTGAGACTTGGCCACGTATGCTGTCTTGTGAATGCGTTTTACGACTATAGTTTGTCTGCCTGTGCATTCTGCGGCGCTGCACTGTTATTTTCCTCGGGCTCTTAGCTCGCGATTATAAAGCGATACGTCGGTCTCTAAAATTTGTTTCAAGGTTAAGCGGCTTGCCGCTAAACGACCTGGCGTTGCGTGTCGTAAAATCAGCGTTTGCCTATCGAGTCCGCATGGGAAACGACATACTCAATAACACATCTGATTCACTGCACAGCAGCTTTTCAAAGTGTTTTTCCAATAATACGTCCACGTGTTTACATTTTAGCAACATCTCAGCGAGGACCAAGTTATTTTGCAGGTTGTTCATTCCGTCCTCAGCACTCATTCTTAGGAATCGTCACACCGCTAAGCAGCTCTACTTGACTACACTAAACGTTACAGCTTTGGTCCAGTGCTTTGTTTTGCCAGAGATTTTTTCTGTACTGCTGCTGGCTTTTTGTAAAATTCCTCTTCTGCCACATAATGCCGCTTAATTCTTTCTTTCTGTAATATATCCTGTCAGTTTTCTATATGGTCTATGATAAGCAATTTGTATTTTTCCGTATTTTGAAAAGTCGTGTTCATCGGTGATGCCCTTGAAGCAGTAAATTCTTAATTAATACCGGAGTAAATGTTCGCTTGAATCTGGTACATCGAAACTTGTTTAGGTCAGTTCAGAACCCATTCGATAGTTCATGGGGAAAAATTTTCGTTTCTTTTCTGACTCTGACTCGTGCCAAAAAAATGTCATCGTACACGAAGTCTGCCACTTTACTGCCGACCAGTTTTATTGGTTCATAATTTTGATTGTTCATTGCGTGACTGGCATAAAACTGAAATATTTGCTTGATTGGTTTAGAAGTAAGACATTGCGAAGATCCTTCGCTCGTTGAATCGATCGCGAACTGCAGAAGAACAACGTGTAGCGGTGGCTTTTAACTTCAGATCTCTTTTTCTCTCATGTTTGGATACTTTCACTATTCTAATATTGATTAATGCGAACTTAGTTTTTTATACCTTTATTGTCGTATTGCTACACACGCCAAGCAGTTTTGCGGACGCAACTTGAGACACTAGTTTATTAGTAAAGCCATTTTAAAGTGTTTTCAATACTTTTGGAAGTAGTAGGTGTTTTTCAACAGTACTTTTTATGTGGATCTAGGATCTGATTTTGGATTAAAGTTTACAAGTGTTAGTTTATTAAACAGATTTTTTCTTTTCATTTAACTAACTAGATAGTTTAGTTTGGATTCAGAGAGTGCGTAACCACTGTTAAATCAGGAGTGAGATCCTCAACCATATAGCAGCTTAAGGTGGCGAGTTATCTTGAGTAGCATCGAACGTGGTGTAGTTGTCTTCATTGTTTTCATGACACGCTTTATTTTGGTTCCCGAATCGTGGCATTTTTTGGAGCACTTGTTGAATGAGTTTTGTATTAGGGTAAGATTGCAAGAGTATGGTGATGAGTTTTTCACGAGAGACCTCAGTTTAAATGGCACACATTTATTCACAACTTAATTACATGACAGCCATACTGGGCTGCTTTTGTAGCTTTTCTCTTGCCTGCTGATTTTGCATTTTGTCTCGGCTTGCACCTTACTTTATGACGTAGTTCTGTAATACGCTGTTTTGCAAATCCAAAACCCGTCTCATCTGCTCTGTTGAGACAGACCATACGTTCACTGACCCGGTTCTTCAGTTTCCTACCGATTTTTCTGAAGCTTTCTCCGCACGATACTTTATCTGATATGTTAACTCTGGACACTGTTTTTTTGGGCATGATGCCTTTCTCGGACAGCAGACTGAAAAGCTTGATGGGGATCTGTAAACAGTGGCTGTCCTGTACCTAGTTATGAACGCTTGATATTCACCGAGTAGTATATTCTGTTTTACGGTTGACATCTGGTGCCTGTTTCTGTTCAGTTATCTGATGGGTCACGGCAAATTGAAGCATACAACATGATCTTACACCTCTGGCGTTTTGGCTTGAGCACACCGAAACAAAGTTCTACCGCTATTGTCTCAGGCGATTGGTTTTCTACCCGTTTCTCGGCGATC